ATGCTGGTAAGTGTAAGGGTATGAAAGCTGATATTTTCATGATCAATTCCACTGACATTCTGCGTACATTCAGACTGTCGATTGCCACACACTATCACCACATCTTTAAGAAAGTACATGTGGGCCAGATCCTCCGGAGACAGCCTGTTTACTGGAGGAAGAACAACAAGGGCATTGCATAAGTTTATATACTGGAACTTATCAGGAGTGGGCCTCGCAAGTACTGTTCTCCAACCCATGGCTTCTGCTGCCGCAGAAAGAACATGGCACAAAACTGATGATGGTTCTGTAGAAATAATACCCAATGTTCTGCCATGTTTCCCCTTGGGTAACCTCTGATGGAAGATTTCCCATGCAATGATAAAGTATGACATACAAGGGACATTCTGAAAGCATGGGAATTTCTTTACATTGAAACAAACTGTTCCTGGAATCCGAACTCTGGAGGATGCAGCAGCTGGATAACACAAAACTACACGATCTCCCACTTTAACTTTCTTCACATCGTTGCCTGTTGCAGTTACTGTGCCACTGAAATCAAGAGCTAAAAGTCTGTGTTTGTCTACTGCTTGAGAATTCCAATACAGTGTGTTACCAAAGTTACAACTAGAAACACTGATGGGAAAATAGTCTTCTGAGTGGAGACAAATTTTGTCCACTTGAATTTCAACGCTCTGTTTGTCAAGCTGAGTAGCAGTGCTGGTGGGTAATTCAGCAGACAAGTCTTTTGCTGTGTACGGATCAGAGGTGTACAAAGTGAATGTTTCTGCCTTCTGGAGACATCTTACAGGTTGGCTGTAGTCTGCATCTACAAAAGGTGTGCGTCTGATTTCGGCCACATAAATTCTCCCTCGGCTGATGCGAACTTCTGGATAGTCCACACCTTTGTATTTGACAAGAACATCTGCTAGCACTGAGATGTCCAGGGAACTGGAAGAGCTGAGGTCAATTATCTGAAACGTGATTTCTGGAACTTCAATGACACAAGTTCTGGTCATGCCATACAAGGCAAACCCACAGTTTACGTGGTCTACATCTCTTTCTGTTGTTCTGTAGGTGATCACTCTGACTGAACAGCGGGACGTTTTCTCTCTTAATGCCACAATAACTTGGCGATATGCTTCACAACACTTTGCTAATTGGTCTACCACTTTGCTTGGGAACTCTTCGTTTACCTTTTGAATTCCCCACAGGAACAGAATTTCATCATAATCCTCAACCTCTGCTCTCATTTTATTGTGTGTGTGATATTCCAAGAGGGCTTCCCAGTCTTCATACATAACATATCTCGAACCAGGATGCAAATATTTTTTGAGCTGCTCAGCTATCCCAAATTTGTCAGCAAACACTAGGACTCTGGGCATAGCTCCCACATATCCAATTGTCCGTGAAAGAGAGACTTCTTTCCACTTGTTTTCAAACATGAACTCATTGTCTCTGGAAGATGCTTGCTTCATGAAAGTGATGGCAACGCGCTTGAGTTCAGCCAAAACGGAGCCATGTTTGTCCATAAAGCATCCACAGACCTCTAGGCAGTTCCCAATGGATTTGCTTGTTCTCATATATATCATCATTTCTTCCTCCAGCGGTCGGAGCACCACCAGGCTGCCTATGCCTGAAGGAAAGCCTGCTCTAGACTGGAACGTCCTTGAGGTCATGACAGCAGTCATCTGCAGAAAACAGTCGAGCAGCACTGGATGGATACAGTAGCTGTACATCTCTCTGACAGTCTCCTTGTTCACCTTGATGCTTGTTATAGCTTCCTTTAGTTCCTGGCAATAATGCACATCACCGAGCTGCCTGAATATGGAACCATACTGAAAGCCAACCTGAGACAATGCTTCATAAACCTCCTCTCTGCTAACCACTGACCTGCATCTTTGATAGATGTCTTGGAAGGAGATAGTGCTTTCTTCCACCACAGCTTCAGGCCCCTTTGTAACGTGGCCTGCAGCATAAACTGCGTTGGAGGAAGAGACTATCTCAAAGGCTGTCACTGCTTTTTGCGGACTCAGCTTGATACTCAAGACTTGGGAACCCTGTGAGAGAACACACGGCGCAGAAAAACTGATACTCATCTGGCAAGTACTCAGAGGCACTCGAGGTCTTGAGCTGCTCATGACAGAGGCCAGGCCAAGCTCCACATAAAAAGCACCAGGGACTAAAGCCACACCGTTGTTCTTGTGCTCATATAAGTACGATGTCATGTCCTGAGACAGCAGGCAGCCAAACTCCGTGTTGTCACTGTTTATGCCATAAATCAAAGGATGACTGGAACTGACACCTCTTTGGTTTGCTTGTTGATGGATATCCAGACAGGCCATGAGTTTTTTGCGATCAAATTGATACCGCGGAATGGCCACTGGGACGCTTTGATATCCGTTATAAAAGTGCTGCCAGTTGGGATTATATCCCAGCTCAAACAGATTTCCTACCAGGCTGAAGAGTGTCTGATACTCCGCATCAGTTTGCAAAGAAGAGAACACCTTTGTGCCTTTTCCTAGAGTTTCCTTTATGCTTCTCTGCAATGCTCGGTGAGGACTTATTTCCACAAACACCAAGTTTTCCCTGTCTCTAGCTGCAGTTTTGATGGCTTGAGTGAAAGCAACAGGCTCACGAGTATGCCGGGCCCAGAATTTGCCCTGAGCAAAGTCGTTTCCAGAAGCAGCCACCCCAGTCAGCGATGAAATCACTTCAATTTCCCCCTTCTGTTTTTCTAAAGGCTGTATGTTCTCTTCCAACTCCCCAAGTATCACATCCATGCTGGGGCTGTGGTACGCAGCTGGGACATTTAAAACATGAAGAAAGATGTTTCTCTGGCTGAAAGCTTGAGCTAAATCTCTCTGGACAGCATCCACAGAGTCTGAATTCCCAGACAAGGTGCAGGAGACCGGGCTGTTGAAAGCTGCAATGCACACCTTTCCCGAGTAGCGATGCAGACATTCAGCAATCTCTTGAACAGGGATGTTCCCAACCACCAGCATTCTGCCACTGGCAGTCTTTGCCTGCAGCCGGCTCCGGTGATAAATCACTTTGACTGCATCTGCCAGGGAAAGGTACCCAGCAAAATGCGCAGCAGCAACTTCCCCTACCGAGTGGCCAACAGCAGTGACTGGTTTGATGCCCCAGGATTTCAGAAGGCAAGCTAAGGCAACCTGCAGGGTAAAAAGCAAGGGCTGCGAAAGCTCTGGATTCAACAAATCCTTTGGGCTGTGACCTCTTGCCGGCAGGAGGCTGATGGGAGCGTGTTTCTGAAAAAGCGCTTCTATTTCCTTACACTTGTCTCTGAACACTGGCTCTGAGCTGAGCAGTACCTCACTGAACTCCTTCAGCGTTACGCCATTGCCACAGAACACAAACACCAGCTGCGGTTCCACCTTTGACATGGCAAGTTCAGTGCTCGCTGCCGACATCACCTCTTGCTGCAAGTGTTGGAGAGAATTTGTGACAAACGCTTTCCGGTACCTATAGTTGGCATGGCTTCTTCTGCAGGCAGATGTATAGGCCAGGCTTGGGAGAGTGACAGAGTTTCTTGTGCTCAGCTGCTCAGCTGTATCGGCCATTGTCATCTGAAGGGACTTACTTGATGCTGCTGAGAGCAGAACTAATTCAAGGGGCCTCTTAAAGGCAGGAAGAGGCTCTAGCTGCTTGATCTGCCTGACTACAACGTGAGCATTGGTTCCTCCAAATCCAAAGCAGTTGATGCCAGCTACTCTTCCATACTCACTGGATTCTTCCCAGGGCTCTACACTTGTGGGAACTGCAAGGTTTAATTTCTCTGTATCGATGCTGCTCATCTCCTTCGAGTAATGCAAGGATGGGACAATCTTTCCATGATGCATCATCAGAAGCACTTTGATTAACCCTGCTGCTCCAGCAGCTGATTCAGTGTGGCCAATATTTCCTTTCACTGAACCAATCTTCAGGATGGAGACTTGTGAAGACCTGTTTCTACAAATGACACTACCCAGGCTTTCAGCTTCAGTAGGATCTCCAGCAGCAGTTCCTGTACCGTGGGCTTCAACGTACTGCACAACTGATGGATCAACGTGACTTCCATAAATGCTGCGCAGTAACTTCTCTTGCTCTATTGGAGACGGTCTTGTGATTGGAGTCATGGACCTACCGTTCTGATTTACTGCACTGACGTTTATAACACCCCAGATCTTGCTGTAGTCTTCCTTTGCCTGTTTCATAAAAAGGTAAAATTATCTTCAATAATCTCATCCTCTCTCTGTATAGGAGAAAACAAACCAACAAAACCGAGAACAGACAGAGTATAATACTAACTTTTAAATGCGTGATCCCTTCCCCATGGTAGGGGAAGTGCATAAATGCTTAATGCTTAATAAGGTGCTTCATTAATCTTAAGCTTGAATTGGACAATCTTCTCTGGACTAATTTGGAGAACTGGAGACGCAGAATTCAGGTAAGCAACCGGTGTTACTTTAGGCTGCTTCACAAGACATCTTACCTTTTTCAGTGGTTTGAGGAAAACAACACCACAGCCTTCTCCCCTTCCATAGCCATCAGCCTTTTTGGAGAAGGGTTTGCTTATTCCCTCCGGAGAGATCATTTTCGCTTTACTGAGAGATACAAAGGTGCGGGGATCTATTATGCAGTTCACTCCACCACAGATTGCTGCCTCACAATCTCCTGGAGTAAAATAGAAACATACTCATATTGAGATGTCCAACATGACAGACAGAGACAGTAGCAATCCAAATTTCGTTGTCCAGCTTCTCTTCAGTCCTATTACCTGATTTAATTGCTCGCAAGGCGTAGTGCAGTGCAAAAAGAAAAGACGAACATGCAGTGTCAATCGTCAGCGATGGTCCAGTCAGATTAAATGTGAATGAGACCCTGTTAGCAGCAATGCTCATTGCTGCTCCGGTACCATCATAATGATTTATTTCACTCACTGCTCTGCTTGTTACAATTTCATAGTCTCGATTCATAAGACCTGTAAAAATATCAAATACGCGTCACATTAACCCAAGCAAAAAAAAAAGGGATGTACAGCTTGAAACTACAGGCATGGAAACTACAGGACATCAGCGCTCCTATGGTGAAACTTTGCTTCAATGCAAGTCAAAAGCAAAACTCCCAGCAACTCCCCTGGACCCGCCTTACACAAACATACCTAAGATTTGAAATTTGGGGAGGGGGAAGTCAAGGGAGGGAAGGGGAGGGGAGGGGAG